TTAACTTATGGCTTACTATGACAAATACTTGTATTCTGGGTAGACCAATACACATAAGAAAACAAAAATTGATGTGCGCCACCTACAAAGCAAAAAATTTACAGTAACAGGAGGCTGCCTGCCTGCTGCTGGATTGTCTAGGGTCGTACCTTAAAGAAAAAAAAATTGAGATTTCATAGAGCAAAATTAAATTTCGAATAATGTTTCACTGTCGAGTTGTACAACTGATTTTTTTTGGGACTAACCTTGCTTAAGAAGCTTGCAATTGAGGACCCACATCTGTGTTTCCACTGACGACTAAATTTCTTTCCGCCATGATTGTTCATAAAAAATGTTTTCAAAATAGATGATATAATTTTGATTTTCAAAATTTGAAATCAATATCCAATTACGTGTTGATTTTATGGTGATTAATGATCTGTTACCTTAAAATTAAGCTGTTTTAGTAACAACATTAATTGTACCATTTTTTCCCCATTTTTTTCTCAAGAGTTTAAACTTACCATGTATCATTTACCATGTTTCACTAGAGTCTAAAGTATCACGGAACTACAAATTTAAGGAATTTTTTGTAAATATTAAATTTGTCGGGACAGAATATATTGAATTACACTATGGGATTCCTTAAATTTTTACTTTCTTTTTTGGACGTTAGGCCCATTCAATTTTTACATGTCTAGAACTAATAAGATAAGATAATAAATCTTTTTATTTTTTCGGCTTAAGACCCAATTTTCACACGTCTTAAAGATTTAAAATACAATGATGATAAAAGAAACAAAGGGCTTAGGCCCCAAGAATAATAAAATACATCACTTTGAGGAAAAAAAAATTTGGACTCTTTGATCCAATTTTCTCCATTCACACTTGCGATGCAGCAAAGCACTGTTAATAAGCTAATGTGTATACCAAATCCTTTCCAGCAAACAACAAACAATAGGATCGATTTGCAACTGAAGAGCAAATACTTCTAACAAAATTATTACAGAGAATGCAAACTTCATAAACCTACGGATTTAAGTAATTAGCTGAGGTCTTTTATCAAAATTGAACATATACAATCATATAACGCATTTCATGTCAAGAACGAAATTGCTACCAGATAGCTTTAGAAACCAAAATGTTCACATCAACTCTAGTCATTCTTAGAGAGAGTATACGATTAAACATAAAAGAAGTCGAAGTCCAAACTATACACCATGATGTCTTTAAAATGAGACTCGATTAACAAAAATTATTG